TAAATTGTAATTTCATACATTTTACCAATTTACCAATTGACTTTTTTAAACTTGTTGATCACTGACTAACTGCTCGAACTGTCCATGTATGGCGGGCCAAAAATGGACAGTTTATGTGCTGGCCGACTAATGTTAGTGCCATTATATTGTCACTTCAAATAAGTGTCATTAGAATTGCCATGGTTATAAATGCAAATAGATCATTGCACCGATTTTTTTAAAAGTTTTTGAGTTACTTTTAAGATAAAATTAATTTTTAGTCAGTCTTTCAATATAGTGGATCTTATGAAATATGAATGTAACCTAAAATGTTTTAATTTAAAAATAATAATATTGCACTATTAAAGCCAATTTCTCAGAATTTTTAGATCTCATGCCAATATAGTTTTGAGTTCAACAAAAATAAATGGGTTGATCAAAAAAAAAAATAAATGACTTTAGAATGTATTATGCTTTAAACAACTTTTTAAAGTTATTAATATTATACTCGTATATTGACTATCAAAAATATTATTATCAATTATCAGTTCGTCAATTTAGTTTTCTTAAAGCCAAGTGTATTGTGTGACACGATGAAAATATGAAATGTCGATCAGTAAAGTCTTGACACTTTGACTCAGAATTTTTTGTGATTAATACGAAACTGGGCTAACGTCCCCTCTAATGAAATTAAACCATTATTGTACAGGCATTATACCGACATAGTACCTGAATAATGGAGCATTTCTGTATACAACTAAATTTCTTGCGTTAACTAAATGTTCGCCCCTTTGCGGCGTAGGCGAATAGTTGTGTGACACCTTTTTTGTCCACTGGACTATTTAAATACAAATTGAGATTATACCACCGAAAAAAACAGTCATTATGTCCTTTCTAATATTAGCAACATCCTACGAAGATATAAAGAGATGAATCCATCTTATTTATTAATGCAAGAAAAAAATATCTACGTCATAGCATTAGATATGTCTTTTTTCAATTTCTCCAGTATCCGTTTCATGGGAAAGTATCTGTATTACCCTTTATCCCGAACATCCTTGATATGATTATTTATTTAATTGACGTTAAATCGTTGTACGTTGTTAGAATATTATGTATAGTAGACATCAAAAATATATTTACAGTGAAAATTTTCAAAAATATCTACACACATTTTCCATTCATAAATTCATCCAAGGTAAATTTTCTTGGACAAATTTTGCTTTTTAATCACAATACATAAATTAAACTTGAATAATAATTACGAAGATCTCAGACATTGAAAGAGACTAGATACGATCAATCATAGGAGCTGTCAAAATTCTGCATCACGTTAGGCTTCAACTACACCAACGCGTGGAGATCGCCTTTGCCGGCTCGATTAGGGTTGCCAGGCGTCTTGGCAGGACATGTTTGGCTTTTTAGGGACTTGTCCGGCCAAATATTGCCTTGTCCGGCCTGTCCGGCTTTTGTTAGGCTTTTTATTTAAGTTGAGCCACATAATCATATGAAACGCACGCATCAGGCTGTTGGTTAGCAACCGATGATTATAGTACTCACTCATGAGCTGACACTAATTGCACCCCCCCCGTCACATGTCCGGCTTTTAGGGTAAAATGTCCGGCCATATGAAGCACAAAGTCCGGCTTTTGTGATTTTGGACCTGGCAACCCTAGGCGCGATCGAAGGCCAATGACAGGTCGCGTGAACTGTCATAGGTCGCGCGACCTGTCATTGGCCCTTGATCGCGCCGGCGATGGCTATCTGCACGCGTTGGTGTGGCTCAAGCTTTAGAGAATGTTTGAGAAATATCAAAGTTTGACATCACTTGTGATCAATTTTCATGAGAGTGATGGTAAATGACCCTCTCATGAAAATTAAATCAATTTCATACACGATTTATTAACGTCCTTTTTATGATAAAATTCAGTCCGGTCTTCTATTGAAAAGAAAATATTTTGCGTACGGCTGTGTGACTTTTCACGAGTAACCTACATTTACGAATTTAATATCTAAGGATGTATGTATTAAAATTATGGTCCAGAAAGCGATTCTTATGACTATAAACGATGCGACAGATAAAAATGCTTATAAATCATGGATATGCTTGTTATATATAGCTTACTAAATGAAGCTTATTGTCGATTATTATTGAAGTTTAAGCGAAAGGCTTAACAGATTTTGTAATTTAACATAACTGAACAAAACACTGTCCTATGTCACCTTAGTTAGGTTTTAATACTTACTACGCTACTCTATAACTAAACCGGGACAAACTAACAAAAGGCAATGGGAAGCTACCACACTATTTTTAACTTTATTAGCTCGGATTAAAGTTCAATATAAAAGTAAATGCGTATACATCACAAAGACGCTGAATAATATTGCCTTTCTAGATTATTGGTGACTATTCTATCATCTACAAACATAGCTTATTAAATAGTCTTCTTTTTAAGCATAAAATAAAGGAGACCGGTTAACAATTAACAGTTAACAGTTTGCCTTGTTTTTTACCTAATAGTTGCTCTTAATTTTATGCAGGTGTTTTATGTTGTCTGTAGACGTATTTGATAGCTTGTTAGGCTGAGTTGCACCAACTAACTATATTATTTCCGTAACTATAACAATAGCCGGTGTTTTTTGTATGGAGTTTGACAGATTTTTGGCGTTTGTCAAAGTTAAAGTAAGATGGTGCAACCCAGCCTTAGTGTCTTAGCTCAATGTTATTTATACTAACAAGAGTTTCATGTCAAGGTATAGGTGAAATAGAATTTCCTTGTAACCTACAGTTCTCACTTAATATAAACTTCAACCACTTACGTTCACTCTAAGCTAGGGGCCAAGAATAGCGGATTGGGCGCTGTGTTCAGGTTAGCAGATTGGAAAGATCGTTTGATGCTAACGTGGGGATATTGCTCACGCCATTCCAGAACCTGGAATAGAGAAAATCAAGTCTTTATGGTCGTTTTTCCTTTAGCAAGCCACTAATAGTTAAAATTGGTGTGGGTTGTCAAATGAAAAATTGCAAAATTAAAAATAAAATAATGTTTATTCACCTGAGATTCGTGTATTTGATCGCAGAAGCTGACATCCAATAGCCGCAGCTCTCGACATTCAGCTAAGATCCTGTAAATTAAAGAAATATATTATATTTAAGTCCAGAAGGAAGTACGTAAACATTTATTTGAGGTCTTTGACCAGTGTATGTTTGAAGTGATGACATAATATGTTACGGAGCCGTGATTTTTTACTACAGACATTATAAGAAGGTTGGTCACCCAAAGGACGACCGGCAGCAACGCTTGCAAGTCCCTATCGCACACTATCCAAGGAACAGCTTGCGAAGAATATCCAAGGTTATTATTATTTACTTACGCGTCACAGATGGCCGGAGTGACCGCCCGAACGCCGAGCAAGTCTAACTGGGCCAGCCTGGGTGCTTTCGGCAGCAACGCTCGCAAGTCCCTATCGCAGACGCCTCATAGTGCTCCAAGGAACAGCTTGCGAATAATATTTAAGGTTATTATTATTTACTCACGCGTCACAGATGTCCGGAGTGACCGCCCGAACGCCGAGCAAGTCTAACTGGGCCAGCCTGGGTGCTTTCGGCAGCAACGCTCGCAAGTCCCTATCGCACACGCCTCGTAGTGTTCCAAGGAACAGCTTGCGAAGAATATCCAAGGTTATTATTATTTACTTACGCGTCACAGATGTCCGGAGTGACCGCTCTAACGCCGAGCAAGTCTAACTGGGCCAGCCTGGGTGCTTTCGGCAGCAACGCTCGCAAGTCTCTATCGCACACGCCACGTAGTGCTCCCATCGAAGAACACCGAAGGTTGTTGTTATTTACTTATGCGTCACAGATGTCCGGAGTGACCGCCCGAACGCCGAGCAAGTCTAACTGGGCCAGCCTGGGTGCTTTCGGCAGCAACGCTCGCAAGTCCCTATCGCACACGCCTCNACGCTCGCAAGTCCCTATCGCACACGCCTCGTAGTGCTCCAAGGAACAGCTTGCGAAGAATATCTAAGGTTATTATTATTTACTCACGCGTCACAGATGTCCGGAGTGACCGCTCTAACGCCGAGCAAGTCTAGCTGGGCCAGCCTGGGTGCTTTCGGCAGCAACGCTCGCAAGTCTCTATCGCACACGCCACGGAGTGCCCCAAGGAATAGTTTGCGAAGTTCTCCGCCTGATAACCACGCTAGCCATTCGCCTGAACCGCCCGCTTGGAGGCTGAAAATGAAATGGATTCTTGTTTATTATTTACTCTATACAAAGAGGACAGTCTCTTTTGTGAAACCCTTAGAAAAAATAAAAATGGTCCTTCGAGCCGGTATATAGCAAAAAGTAATAACCGTTATAGATAGCAGATTCATATTCATTTATTGCATCTTGTTGTACAATTAGGTAGTAAAAATAAATATATCTCGCAGTTTATTAGACTACAAACAATATCTGCGTTTACAGAGAGTAAGCAACTCTAATTCTTTGGTGAAACTTCTATACCTTAAGATGATCCTTCGAGCCGGATATTTAGTGAGCAAGAAGTAACGATGTCTGTATGCTACACGCAATTATAGTTAGCTGGCAAAGCCTTTTTCAACCAATGCTACTCATTAACTGAGTAAAAAGCACTCCCTTTCCACCCTTCGATCGACGAAGAATATTACAATTTCAAGTAATGTTACATACCACCAGCCAACATCCAGTTCCTGCAAATTCCTGCAGTTTCCAAGCGCCCTGATTCCGTTCGGAGTTAGCGAGTACGACTTCCAGAAGTCAACTGAAATCAGGTCAGGGCAATTTGCACCTAACTCCATCGCCACTTCGTCCATTGCTGATATCATTTTGCATGAACCTGAAAATTGTATGTTAAAAATTAGTTAGGCTTGGACTTCTGGTCAAAGTCGTGGGAAGTACTTGGATACGGACAGCACAGGAACGATGGTTATTGAAATCCTTGGGGGAAGCTTTTGTCCAGCAGTGAACATAATTTACAAACATATCTCTATTAGTGAGAAAGACACGGTTTAGAAATCTCAAGTTGTAGAGATAAACTGATTGACTTGACTCACACAACCAAAGTCAGTCGACAAACCACAGGCAGTGTTCGCTCTTGTAGATGTGCGAACAACACCACCTTTGTCTAAATATTTATAACTCAAAGGTTGACTGACTGATTGACATAGTGATCTATCAACGCACAGACCAAATCACTGGACGGATCGGGCTGAAATTTGGCATGCAGGTATATGTTATGACGTAGGCATTCGCTAAGGATTTTACGAAACTCCACCCCTAAGGGGGTAAAAAGGGATCCACGCGTACGAAGTCGCGGGCGGCCGCTAGTTGCATGTATAAGAGCATACAAAATAAATAATACATTAAATCTATAGAAATAAGAAACAAAATCCAATGCGTACCAACATTAAGATGCTGCAGCCCCGGATTAGATCTGATAATAGCCACCGCTGCAGAAGTTGTTATATTAGTTCTGTATAGATCCAGGCGTTTCAGCTTCTTCAAGGCAGAGAGGCACATCCAGTCTGTACAGCCAACGACAGACCGCAGACAGAGTTCTGTAATTCAAAGTTAAAGATTAGAATAAAATATGAAATAATTCAAAATGGCCAGTATTCATGTCTTGTGGTCGCCAGACAAAAACAGTCTTTGTTTTTGTAGTATAATATCTAAATTTGCATGTACGCTTCATGACCCAATGACAAGTAGAGTTCGAATATTACATACTGATACACACTTTAACCCGCCTGCCAAGCGTGGGGATTATGGCAAAACCCTCTACTATAGTGGAGGAGGCTCATAGTCCAGCAGTGGACTGTAAAGGGCTATTGATGATGACACACTTTAAACATTAGCTACAGACTATGGTAAGTACTTGCGAATAGAATAATCAAAAATAATATAGCAACGTCATTATGGTAAATGAGAATAGAAACAATATCAAGTATTGCCTATACACCGTGTTACTTTGCATTCTTGCCATATTCACAGAGATAAAAGTAGGGACCAATACCTATTATTTAAGATAAACATGAGACTCCCATAAAGAAAGTACACTGAGTTTTTAGTAAATTTGGTTTTGCAGTACAAATTGGAATAAACCAATTTTGTCTCGCACTTTCTACAGGTGCAAGTGGAATAAACCTAATGGGCGTGGCCTAGTTCTTATTAATCTGTGATGTTTATGGCTCTGGGTACCAGCCTTTTTATCCGGTCATAATAATTATTTTAAAATACTCTTCAGTTGATTTTAGATTTTCCTTTCTACTCTCAGATTCTACTTTACGGGTTTAGAACCGTCAAAAATAGGTACGTAATAATATTAGGCTTTTAATTAATTTATAAATTGTTCCCTATTTTTACAAATTAATAAATTAAGTATGAAATGAAATCACCTTATTCACAATTAATCATTTATTTATGAGTTCCTACTTACAAAGTTTACGTACTGCGAAGCAAGTATTCAAAGTGTCCTCCGTTCTGATGAAGGCACAGTCTGGCACGGCGAAGCGTAGGTATTTCGCTTTAGTTTTCGCAACACATAAACGTTTTGTCTCACAGTTTCGCTGAAACAATCCTTTCACGTAACACGTTTACACTTTTTATCTCTTCTGCGCATACCAGGTCATTTCAAGTCCATTGGTGTTAGGTCCGAGGATCGTGGTGGCCAAGCTACTGGACCCCTTCGTCCAATCCACTGTTCACCAAACGTATTATTCGCGCACTTGACGTCCTTATTGTGGGGGAGCACCATCCTGCTGCTAGTAGAGCATTAAAATTTGGTGTAACGCTAAGGGTACGTCATCAAGCATTTCGTTTAAGTCGTCTTGCAGACACTCCAAGCACCATTTTGATTAAATTATTCGTTGTTTGAATGTATGTACACTTCAGTCATTTTTGTATTATTTATAACGTGATTTTTGTGATTGATGGATTTCTCAGTTTTTTACAAGTGTCAAAAAGACATTTTAAAGACAATAGATTGCAATAGATATTTCAAAATACAATAAAAAGTAAAAAAGTCTCCATCGCCATCGCTAACAAGTGATGTGCTTGCGTTACGATAGTTAGTGATGTGTTTAACAGATTGTCGATAAAATAAAATGTTCAAAATTAAAAATCAAAATTTTCGGGCATTATTTTTTAACGGATTTGTGTTCAGTATCAGTAATATAGTTACCTCTGTAAATATGGCAAGAATGCAAAGTAACACCCTGTATAAGTTTCATACCTGTGGTAAAACCCTTTACACATTTTTACTGGCAAAAAAATAAAGTTCTTTAAATTGAATATCTGAGTCTTAAGGATTTGCCACATTCTATAAGTTCTGAAGTTCATACATAATGCGGACTGCGTTTACTTTGACGCAGACCGCATCCAGTGTGACAGATCCTTTACTGACGAATTAATCAATATTATTTATTCTGTATAAATCATGAAGTAAAACATTCAAAGTAATACGAAGCATTTCATATTCAACATCTTTGAATCAGATCGTTGGTATTATTTAGAAAATGTTTTCATTCTGTACCTACTACAATATCCACAGAGTAATCTAATATTGGATTTCCACAAAAACGGTCCTGCGCCGCTCGCATCCAGGTACCTCCCGCGACCCTCACCAGATCGTCGGTCCACCTAGTGGGAGGCCTGCTAACGCCACGTCTTCCGGTTCATGGTCGCCACTCAAGAACTTTCCTGCCCCAGCGGCCATCAGCTCTACGAGCTTGTGCTCAGCCCACTGCCACTTGATTTTAGCGATTCTGCGGGCTATGTCCGTCACTTTGGTTCTCCTACGGATCTCTTCATTTCTGATTCGATCACGCAGGGAAACTCCGAGCATAGCACGCTCCGTCACCCTTTGGGTGACCTTGAGCCTTCATATGAGGCCCATAGTAAGCGACCACGTCTCAAGTCCGTATACTATCACTGGCAACACACACTGGTCAAAGACTTTTGACTTGAGGTCTTTGTGGAAATCATTGGGGGATGCCTTTATCCAGCAGGGGAGGTCTTTCGGCTCAAACGAACGAACGAATCTAATACTGACAAAAACCAAATAGCAACAAAGACAACAAATATTTAACTAACCTTGTAAACTAGTAGAAGTGTCAATAATAGCTCTTAGCACCGAGTTATCAACGAATTTGCAGCAATTCATCCTAAGATGTGTTAATTCCGCCCCACTGTCTCGTAGCAAACTGTGAAACAATGTTACCTTGATTTAAATATAATAATCAAAACAAAAATTGCAATGGGTCTAAAATGTACATTTTATATATCACTAGGTTTAGGACGCGGCTTTGCCCTCGTAAAATTTTGTCTGTCACAGAGAAAATATATAGACTTTATCGTGCTACAATATTTCAAAAACCGGGGTAAATACCATCCCATGTCCTTGGCCATAACTGAAACTATGTCTGTACCTTTCACCAAAATCGTGAAGCGTGAAAGCGTTACAGACAGTATTACAGACGTAGAGAAGCAAATATCCCTAATATTTGGTTCACACTATGTTTGTCTGGACTTATTATGAAGCAGATAAGAAACATACAATTTCCTCGGTATTTTAGACCCACTGGCCCCTAATCATATTGCGTTTTAACTTTGAAAATAACAATGTAAAACACCATGAACTCATCAATATAAGCTACATAATGTGTCGACAATTAAACTAGCAATCATAGAAACGCAATTTGCAAAGGCATTGTTTTTTTTTTTTTGTGGCCACGTTTGTCTCCAAAACCGGCCATGTTGCGACTATTCCTCTTGGGGGACAAAGAACGGTTAATGCAGAATGGTATGCTAGCATTTGTTTGCCACAGGTCGTTTCTGAACTCCGTAAAGAGAACTGCAACCGCCGCATCATCCTCCATCACGACAATGCGAGTTCTCACACCGCGCACTGAACAAAAGAGTTTTTAGAGCAAGAAAACATAGAATTATTAGTCCATCCGCCGTACAGCCCCGACCTAAGCCCTAATGATTTCTATATTTTCCCTAAAATAAAGAATAAATTGCGTGGTCAGAGATTTTCATCACCTGAAGAAGCTGTGGACGCCTACAAAACGGTCATTTTGGAGACCCAAACTTCCGAATGCAATGGTTGCTTCAATGATTGGTTTCGTGTATAGAAAAAATGTGTCAAATATCGCGGAGAATACTTTAAAAAGCAATAAATACATTTTTAAATACACTCGACATCAAATAAATCGCACCTCCCGCGACAAGCATTTTCAAACGTATGCATCCCTACTTCCCACCAATATTGGCACCATTTAAAAGCCTAGTTCTAACCTTCATTTCATTAAAGGAAAGGTTTTTACCCCAAAAATGTGTCTTTAGAAGGATCCAGAGTCACTTCTTCAAAAAATAGGTAGTTACGCTAGAGCCAACTTTTATGGCAATAAAACTGTTAAGTTGGGATTAATCGCTATCCATCTGTTAAAGAGGACACGTGAGATCATTATTTGGTTTTATAACCATAAAAATTGGTCTCATTGATCCCATGGGTGGGCCCAAAGTGAGGTATTTTTTCAAGTCACATTTATGGTATATAGCTTTCCGCCCGCGGCTTCGCCCGCGTGGAATTTTTCTGTCACAGAAAAACTTTATCGCGCGCGTCCCTGTCTCAAAAACCGGGATAAAAACTATCCTATGTTCTTTCCCGGGACTCAAACTATCTCTATGCCAAATTTCATCAAAATCGGTTGCGAGGTTTAAGCGGGAAAGCGTGACAGACAGACAGACAGACAGACAGAGTTACTTTCGCATTTATAATATTAGTTGGGATGTTAATCATTTATTAAGAAACTAGCTGACCCGGCGAACTTCGTACCGCCTTAGCGTAGAGATTTTCTTAATATTTTTTTCCGTAAGAACCATCCTTGGACTTCCACAAACATTAAAAAAAAAGAATTATCGAAATCGGTTCAGCCGTTCACACGTGATGCCGTGACAACGCGAAACGGGTTTCATTTTTATATATATAGATTAAATGTGTTTTTCTGTAAGGATATTTATTGAGCTTTCAAATAACACCAATATTGTTGGGGTACTATGATTGTGTCAGAAGAAAATCGTTAAAGTTCGCGTCGCGGAAGGTGCGGTTTATTTGATGTTGAGTATAGTAATGTTCTTTCACTTCCTTGATTCCCGAAATTTTCAGTGCCGCCCTCGTATACTATGTTATAACTGTCGCAGAATCTATAAAAATATTGAGTAAATAGACACCCGAATGGAGGCCAAGTCACGGTAAATGTAACGACCCACCATTGTCATAATTTATTTTTATTTTTTTGTTTTATATGATGTCATACAAAAAGTGCATTTAAGCACCCAGAACGGATCAGACATTTTTATCATGCTGTATAATGAATTGAACAATTATAATTTAATTTACATGCTATTCTATGATTCCAAACAAACCACTTTATCTCGAAATTAAACGGGTTTAATTTAACCTTTATTCTCTAAACTGGTTTAAAAAAAAGAGTCATCGAGACGTTCGAAATAGGAATCGATTGTAAAAAAAAACGTTTAATGTGTCTGCTTTTTTTAGTCTTTAAAGTGCAACTTATTTTGCTCAAAACGAGTAACTTTTAAATAAGACTATTATTTAAATACGCTTATCGTATTTATTTGCATAATCCTTTGTAAAACAGTCAGCTATATGTTATTTAAGATGGATTTTTTTGCCAAAAATAGTCTTGTTTTGAAGAACATAAGATTCAATGTTCGAGACCTTGAGGCATTCACGTGAGGCTATGAGATAATGAGCATTATCAGACATAGTCATAAGGTCAAAAAAGTTGGCAACTAATCAATGACGGAGATATTATCATAACAATGGAACATGTCAAGACTTTATAATCGCGGAATACCACTCACTGATTTATCACGAAATCTCAGAAACTATAAAAGATAACACCTACAGACTTGAAAGTTAGGTAGGTTCCTTATAGGACTACTTTTACGAAACTCCACCCCTGAGGGGGTAAAACGGGGTCCACGCTTACAAAGTCGCGGGCGGCGGCCGCTAGTAATAATCTAAAGTTACAACAATGTAAAGGCATAAGACCGGGAAAAGACCCAATCCATAAAAATATGAACTTCACAATCCGATCAACCTTTGTAGCGATATGAAATCACCTTATTTCCACATAATACTGACTCTTGTAATATCCATTAGAAATAAATGAAATGTAATACACACGTGTAGTTGAATGTCAAGGACACAGTCCAAACAATGTCGAAACGAATTCCCAAATAAAGCGGATCCACGTGACAGAAGTTTCCATCTAATACAAATACAGACGACGCTAAAAACGGCGGCATCTTATGTAGTTGTATTAGGATCTGTTTTGCAAATAATATTTATAATTTTACAAGCTGTTGACGGTACATAATGAATGAATATTATCATACTTCAATCCACTGTTAGTCATCAATGCATGCCTCTGGCTTCGGTCCTATTAACTTCCAACCACAGATATGGATTAGAGTAGATACAGCAAGTTGCNCAAGTTGCTAGTCAAAGCGTGCCATTCCGATATGTCCAAATGGACATACATGGTCGAGTGATGTTCATGTAATCCGATTACAACAATCGGATACGATGATTTTACGAGGACAGTAGTACGAACACGGTAGAGAGAAGAAATTATTTACGGATTGAGAATTGTAATTAACAGCAACGAGTAACAAATATGTAATTAATTAGAATAAAGTAGCAGAAGAAGAATTATAAAACAAGTTAGATCAGTGATCGCGGAATACAGAGTGCACTGTATAACGTCGAAATATACAAATCAAGAAGTTAGGTCAGTGATCGCAGTATTCACTATTACTACTATGTATGTATACGACGCCCGAGATTTTGTCGTTTAGAAATATCTTCAAAACTAGGTACCTGACTTAGCTTTATGAAAAAAAAAAAACGTATTGGCAAAACTACGCATTTTTACATTTAAAAATAAAAAGCTTGAGTAAAATAGTCTTTATTTTATGAAAGTAGGTCATTTACTTACTAGGATATTTAAAAGTATGGAATTAAGTATGAATTACTAGTAGTACTATTTAACATAATGGAATAACTATCATTACTTTCATAAACATTAGGCACAACAAAAATATTATTTGCAAATTAATAATGTAGAATTGTAGAATAACGTCTACCGCTACAAAATCATTTATAAATATAACAAAATATCAGTTTTATCGGAATTAATTAATTTTTGAATCGAGTCACACGATATCATTCGATGACTTTTCGCATGCAGTACGATGATACGATTACTTTTACGTTGCGGCAATCACTAAAATTCGCTAAAATGACACTAATGACGTTTAAAAAGTGGCACGCTCGGCTTCATACAAATTTTGACACATGCTGCATCTATCCTTATCTGTGCTTCCAACCAATGCGAATTGATTGGGTAGTATTTTGAAATTTTTTATAAAACAATAAGTGTGTACATCAAAAGAAGCAAAACTTATTTTGTTGCTTGTTGGATTTCGGAATAATTTATTCATAAGTTAAACTTCGGATCGGTCGTCGTGGAAATCGTTGGGGGAGGCCTTTGTCCAGCAGTGGACGTCTTTCGGCTGAAACGAAGTTAAGCTTAAAAGCTATCCAAAAATTTAAAAACCTAAATTCATAGTTTATGTTACGAAACGAAAACTAAGGCGAACTTAGTTGATTCTTTCCTAGTCAACCTTTGATTCTATTCTCACCTGTGACTGCACACAATGCCAATATGGCCGAAGATCGATGCTGCGATACAGAATGGAATCCGATGCGAGCCTGTTGAAGTGCCTGTTCACTTGAGCGCATCGGCACAACGACTGTATGTCCAAATACTTCATCACGCATAGTATTGTTTCATCCTGGAAAATAAATCAATGTATGAGTAGCACCCAAACTATGCCGTTTTATTTAGCACTCTTCGGAGTAAACCCATCCCTCATCAGCATAGCATACATTTAAAGTGAGGACACCATAATTATGATCATTTCATGTTGTGCATATCGTAACGAGGAAATTACTATGAGCGATTTTTCGGCGAACCGTACATTTAGTACCCACTACAGGAACACGACCCTCTATTATCACCTTCGATTTCATTTGACAAAAACGTAGAATGTTAAACGGCGTGCGAACTACAATCTGATGGAGTTAACTACAAGCGCATCTGGCGGCCGTGACGTCACATTGACGCTCTATAGTCTATCCAAAATAGCTTGATTAGAATGACAGCTGTCAAACGAATGTGACTAGTGATGGGTATGTTTCGTACGGTTCACATAGATGTATCGATAAGTTTTCGAAAAAATGATATAAAAAAATGCACCCAATTTTTCTTCATATCTTTATTCATAAAAATGACAATTATAATTTAAATTTAAAGACAGTAAAATTTAAAATTCATGTCAAGGGTGTACAACCTAAGTCGTAGTCATTATCATCAGTGTTCTTCGGTGGATTTTTCCTCTCGCTAGAGGGCTGTGGGCATCTCTTCTAGAGCAACGGTGCTATAAATACCCAAAAAATTACCGGTGATTAATTTCCGATGTTTGATTATTTAATAATGAAATGTTTTTTTCATTTTTAATAGTGAACATTTAGAAAAACTTATAACTTGACTTAAATATGTTAAAAAATTTGTTAGAAAAAAATTTAGTTCAATATGTTAAAAAAATAGTTTTAATTTAATATGACATTTGTCGATATGTCCCATCACTAACATTTTTGTAACTCGAGATAACCTTGTAGAGACGTCGTTAATACTCTAGCTTGATTTTTATAATTTCGAATTACTACTTATTGGTGTAATTTAACGCTGCATTTACACGAAATTAACATTTTTATTGGAAGCACTGTCGTCAAAAATATTGTTTGTAGGTCAGACGTGAATTATTTCTTGTCCTCCAATATTTAGCTCTCATTGATCGCTACTACAAAGTTATGTCGTTACTTTTGAGGGCAGCTGTCATTCTAATCAAGCTATATTGGATAGACTATAGTACGAGAGCGAGGGTTAGCTCGATCGGGTTGTAGTAACATGACTATCATCGCGTGAATGTTTCGCAAAATGTTGCGCAACTCTGTGTGGAATGGGCATTGTTGTCGTATCACGTAATAGATACTGGATACATTTTTTCCCTAGTGTATTTCAGGCTAGTCAGATAAAACTACAGATTTATACACAAAATTAATTCAGCCGTAAAACAATCTTATCGCAATACACACTTGTTCTGCAAATTATAGCAAAATTGCGATGTAAAACACGCAAAACCTCATAAAAAATATAATAAAGTTTTCCTACTTAAAAACATTCGTAGAAACGTGAAGAATGTTTTATACTAAGACCTATGGTGACACGACTGAGTTACCGTAGGTCAGGGTTGGCGCGCTTCCACCAGAGGATTTATTACCGTGCATCATAGACGTCAAATAGTTTATGATTACTGCTGTCTAGATATAAATAGAGATGTCCGGCGTATGTCTAGATATAAACAGATTGTTAGTGGGAGGGGCGATCCTAAACGACATAATGGGTCATACAGGGTGTTTGAGATGGGTAACTTAGTTTTTTCACTATCCGGTCATTTAGTTTCCTCTGCAAGAACATGAGAACACGACCCTCTCGACGCCAGAGAAAAAATAAGAATTTGGCCTTTCTTCCCCACCCTGACCAGACGGGTTGGTGAGGCCTTATATTCACATTTTCTTATTTAGTCGAATGGTACGACATCCACGAGAAGAATGGGGGTAGTCCTATTCTACCCAACCTGAATCTCATTAGTAGGTGAGAGTTAGGCCCGTATTCACAAACATTACTATGAGGTCTCACAGTGCACGTGGACGCACAGGGTGACACACGAACCAATCACAAAGCTCTATTCGACGCTGTGCGTTCGATTTTCTGCTTCACTTAAGCAAGCATCGTTTGTGAATACGGGCGTAAGGCCCGGTTTCCACTTAAGCGAAGAGGAAAAGACACAAGAAGAGATGTGTTTTGTACAAGCAATCAGATTTCGGTATTCCCACATCTCCTCTCCACTCAGCTTCGTTCGGAAGTATTGAAAAGACATCTCTAATCTCCTGTCCACTTTGGTAGAAACCGGGCCTTAAGAAGTTTACATTTATTTAAATAAGTAATCTACATTACAATATAACCCTTAAAACTTACCGGCAGCTTCTGGAAATCCCCTAACGGTGGGCCCGTGTCAATACGGTTCAAGTTCGCGGCTACGGTCGGCGGGACCACGGCCTCGTGAAGATTCGACGCCATGATCCGATTGAGCAACTGGCCTGCGAACAAAGGCGCTTGTGTAATGTTGATTGTGATGTGAGGAAGAATCGTCGGCTAATTAGTGATGTGTGTAACAAGATAGAGTAAGCAATGACGTGGAATTAGAAAGGAGTTTTTTTTATATCTATTCACATTGTTTAAGTATATTATTTAAAATGTATTTGCCAGATACTGAAAGCGTGAGACGTAATGGGGCGAATACTTTACTAGTGGAAACAATGCAATCTTTTCATTATATTTCATATAGTACCTAGATCCACTTTAGGTACTATATTTTCTATATTTTCTAAAGCACTTTTAATGCATTAATGTAAATAATAAATTAAAATAAATTTACAAACGCACTTATAAACTGGCGTGTTTATTTAAAAATTAAATGTAAAAGATAAAAAGAGCGAAATAAAATTGTTCACCGGAGAATAATAACAAAAGAACACAGCAAATATTTAAATGTTTTCTGTTATCTTTTTCTGCAACGACCTTTTTAGTAAAAAAAAAAAAAAACAAAACACGGCAGTAAACAACGATGCAATTAAAAATGCAATCGAAGACCGGCCCGTGTTGTTGTTATGTAAACGCAGCCTTGAACGTGATCTCGTGATCGCTATCGTTAACGCTACAGCAATCGAGAAGCGATAATTTATTTTTAAAATTCTATGTTTAAAAAATTACAAACACTTAAAAATAGAATGCTAATCTTTTGCCTTAATCTCCGCTATAACGTAAAAAAAAAGAACTTAAGATAAACCTATTTGATAGAAAAGGGAGTAATTTTGCTTTAATGAGGATGAAAAGATCAGAAATCATAAAAAAATAGAAAAGTCCAGCTGTTAAATATTTTATAGAGGAGTCTAGCTGTCTCACAAATAGAGTAGTATGTAATTTTGTATTGACCGATAGCAACTTAACGACTATCGGCTCTACCAAGGAGTTCCAACACCATCAATTTTGAGTTCTAACTGAGTCCCTTCTTCTTTTCTTAAGTGATACAATAATCCAAGCATTTTAACACAACTAAGTATTACGACAACTAGGCGTGAGAAACATTAATTGGTAAGTTTTACACGCAAACTTACATTTTCGTTCCGTATTTCCGTACGTTCCATAAGTTACTGAATATTAATGGTAGTTAGGTAAAAAACTCAACCTTGGCCTAATGGGCGATTGTCTATTTATTGCTTAGCATTAACTATCGATTTGCGTCATTTTA